TTTTGCCACAGGCTCCTCTACCTTTTTAAGGGTGTTGCGGTTCCCCTGCATGTAGTTCCGGTGCATCTCCAGCACTTTCTGCGGACGGCTGCGGATCCAAGCGCTCAACGTCTCAATGGGCGACCCRTTTACGGACCACTCCGTCACGCCGAACTGCCTCAGGTGGGCCCGTGCGTGGCTGGCTAAAGCCTTACGGTTCTCAAAGTAGAACCCACACAGCTCACAGCTAGGGTCTGAAAAMCGCACAGACAGAAACAAACAAAMAWATATCAAAGGKATTGTTTGCTTGTATGTGGCTCAGTATGAGTTAAATACCTACAACTTACCCTGGTGTGCAAGCTTATCTGGTGAGGGTTTTCTTTTAAATGAGAAGTCGTGYGGAAGCGAGGAGAAAGTTTTAAGTCGATGTGGAGGTGACTGAGCCATCTCCACTGATCTCTGGCCCCCGGCCTCCTCTGATGAAGGCCTTTTGCCCAGTGGGGACATCCTGAAAAACTTGCCTGCAGGCTGAGGCGCAAATAGACCCACAGAGCCCAGGCCCTGCTTTGGGAACTTTGATCTGGATTGGACCAAATTAAGGGGAGATTTATGGAGTTTGGAGGACTGGTAACTTGAAGCACCCAAACCCTCTGAGCTGCCAGTGCTGCTTGCATTATCCCACGAGGGGCTGTTGGCCCCGTGAGTCGACTCTTTCTTCACTTCCTGGTTCAAGTGGGATGAGCCGCCTCGCCCTCTCTTTTTCATGACTTCCCTCAGCGTGTCGATGGGCGAGCCGTTGACCGACCACTCGGTGATGCCCATCTGTCGCAGGTGGGAGCGCGCGTGGCTGGAGAGACCTTTGCGATTCTCAAAGTATTCCCCACAGAACTCACAGCGAATGTCCCTCGAAGGCTCAACTTCACTCGTCATGACTGAGGAAGACCAGGAGAAAATACGGCACATGTTGGGTAGTTCATTTACTAAAAGATAAAATGAGTATTTTATCTCTTAAAAATGTGAATTATGACAGGCATCTTTTTGGACAATAATAGCTACAGTGGTGGGCACAGATCCCATAAAGCACTAAAGCACTAATAGGGGAACTAATTTCCTGATTAGGGCTTTAGGGCGGCTGTGGCGGAGTGGTTAGGGGAGTCGTCCTGGAACCAGAAGGTCACTGGTTCGATCCCCCGTCCAACCGTCTCAGTCGTTGTGTCCTTGGGCAAGACACTTCACCCACCTTGCCTACTGATGGTGGTCAGAGGGTCCGGTGGCGCCGATGCATGGCAGCCCCACCTCTGTCAGTGCGCCCCAGGGCAGCTGTGGCTACAGTGTAGTTTGCCATCATCAGTGTGTGAATGTGAGTGTGAATGGGTGAATGTCTGTTAGTGTAAAGCGCTTTGGGGTCCAGAGGGACTTGAAAAGCACTCTATAAGTTCAGTACCATTTACCATTTACTAATTWAAAAATTTATTAGTGGATTATCACTTGCTAAATTTATAGGCTAAATTTAGAAGCACTAACTGAGGTCTATAAAAGTTATTGATCAACATTAATGTTAGCAGCTGAGAGTAAGTGTAAGTTTGCTTACAACTATTAGTACAACACAGAATCCTAAAGTTTCTTAACGGAAATCAAAGTACAATATTTACTTCATATAATTTTGTGTTGTATCATTTTGTAAAATTCCTATTGTCTTATTATATTATGTTGTATTATGTATCGTTTTGTGCAGGTCTCTGCTGCTGGTATTTTGTGGGTCAAAGGTGAAAAGTTTGAGAACCACTGGTCTACATTACAATCACGTTAGAGCAACTTGATTGCCAAGGAAACAATTGCAAACAATACAATTGATTTTAGTTGAAAGTCGTGAGCAAATTTAATGAGTCGGATAATAAATCAGATTTTCGTGTTTAAATATCAAGTTTGAGAACCTGTGATGTTTGGTTCAGGCTTTTTAAACATCTTTGCTTGTGAATTTTTAAGTGCATTTCAAAGGTTTATAGATACAGTAAGTTAAAAAATAAATAGTTACCCAAGTTGAGTGGACACCCATTGTCAGAGCTGCCCCAGCTAGAGCTAAGAGATTCAGCAGGAAAGCCTCCAGATCTCCCCACCACCCCTGGCTTGGTGACCTCCAGCTGCACCGGCTCGGGTTTTGGCTTCAGCGTCAGGCTGCTCAGAGACGACACAGGACCTGAGCTGGACTTGGACRCCGCCACCTGAGGAGGGCTGCAGGGGCGGGCGAAGGAAAAGGGAAGGCGGCCGAGGAAGCTACCCGAGGGAGATGAGGAGGTTGAGAGAGGAGAACGAGGGGGTATCGGGGAAGATGGCGGTGGGGTTTTGAGAGGTTTTAGAGGAAGGGCGCAAGGCAGGCCTCGCCTTGTRATGACCTCTCGTAAGGTGTCGATGGGTGAACCGTTGACAGACCACTCCGTAATGCCCATTTGGCGCAGGTGGGAGCGAGCGTGGCTGGAAAGGCCCTTCCTATTTTCAAAATACTCCCCACAATACTCACAGCCTATTTCCTTTGGAGGTTCACCTGAAAGAGGGTTAAAATATTATAAGCTTGTGATAATTACAGCATGTACRTCTAAATAAAAGAGGTCAACTTAATTTTGTGTTAGTAATTATTAAAGCACCACTCACTGTGTGGAACAGCCATAAGCTCTCCACTACTGAGGCGGAAAACCTGCATGGAAGAGGTTTTGAGACGCTTGGCGGGTGGGCCAGGTAAAGACGAGGCAGAGGAGGAGGAAGAGGTAGCTTTGGATGTTGACCCACCCCCAGCTGTGGTCACCTTGTAGATGAGTGATGAAGAGGAGGAAGAAGAGAGTGTCAGCAGAGGCTGTTTGGATGAGGAAAGTGCTGCAGATATGCTCTGCGGTTCCGGAGGACTGTCCAGCTCCAGCGCACTGGCTTTGTGCTTAAAGTCATCAGTATCCATAAACTCATTCAGGAGCCTGATGGGGGAACCCTTGGATTCAGAATACTCCACGCCAAAGTGTCGCAGGTGAGCCCGAGCATGGCTGGACAGGCCTTTGCGTGTTTCAAACCAGGCCCCACACAGCTGGCAAACCAAGTCCTTATCCGTGTCCGCCTCCAGGGCTGCAGAGAACGAGAAAACAATTAAATTAATACATGAGACAGAAAGGGATTTTGAACCTAAATTTCCTGGGCAGTGAAGCTTACTGAGGTTCAGAGGAGCGTCGTTCTCCTGTGGTGCCCAGAGCGGTTTGGCTGTTGTGATTGTAGAGGCAGCAGAAAGATTAGAGGTCAGGCTTTTTATTCCCCCAGCCTTGAGCTCGGGGGAGCGCAAGGGGGAAGACACAGGCAGTAGAGAGGAAATGGGGGCTTTCTTCACTACCGRTGAAGGTGATCCAGAGTGAGATGGAGCTGGAGAGGCACAAGGAGAAGGTGTGGGCGTGGGGGAGGCGGAAGGTGGTGGCACTGGCTTCGCTGCTTTGGCCACGACGGAGAGCGCGAGGGGCTTCTTGTCCAAGTCTTCGGGCTCCTCATCTTTCKGGGGAGCAGACAGGGAGGTGTTCTTCGTTGAGCTCAGCTTCAGGAGCAGTTTGTTGAATTTGCCGTCGATGCTGCGATCYTTGACAATTTTGTGAAGGATCTCGATGGACGGCCCGCTGTTCTCTGCCACGGTGATGCCAAGCTGGCGCAGGTGAGCGCGGGCGTGGATGGATAGGCCGCGCTTGCTTCCAAACTGAGAATTACACACCTCGCACTTCAGGCTGCGGACTGCAAAACAGGAAAGATTAGGCTATTAGGAACTGTAAAAACATGGTGAATGAGATCTTTTCAACTCAAACATTTCTATTTATGACAGATCATGTGGAAGTCTGTAGTATTAGTGATAAGAGGTGATTTCTGGATATTCAAAGTTTATTTAAAGGAGACCAATTATGGGTCCTAGAAATTTTTATGGTATGTCTGTGGGCTATCCAGACCATGTTCATTCAATTTAATGCACAAAATAATTCTCAGATAATAAAATTTCCCAGTTTCTAGTTCTGCTGCTCTGACTTCTGTTCAGAAGAGCTGTTTATGTTAATGAGCTCTGTTGGTAACGCCCGCCAAAAATCTGTTGACATTAACTCCACCCTCCAAAGCCAGCGTTTACGTTAGCATGGCTGATAATAGCAGAAGCTCCGTTGTACGACCATATATATGAGACCCTGAGTCAGACCGAGAGGCAGAGTCGTGGTCCCAGCCTTTTTTTTCCCTCTCCCTCCTCTGCTCTGCCCTCACTCTGCATGCTGTTACCAGAGCAGGGAGCAGCAGCTGTCAAAATACCTCAGAAACTGGAACAAATAGGCTTTAACAAGGCTTTAATAAGCTAAACAATAGAGGTAMACGAGAAAACGTGTTCATAACGAATGAAAATAAATAATTAAATTGTGTCCGTGCAGGTCTCAAACCCTGGTCTCCCACTCTCTGGTCCAACACTCTACCCATTGCCCTATTGGAGGCTTGTTGTGAAATGAGGTGAGCATTACACAACAACAACTGTCTTTTTAGCGGCTTTTTATACTGAGGAGGTGGGGCTTCACCTGGGTGAGGTGCTGAACGCAGGTTCCAGTGGGTTGTCGTACGGCTTGTGACGTCAAAAAATGACGGAAGTATAAAAATTGTCGTTAATATACATTAAAAATACATTTACTTACAGTAAATATGTCCCTGGGTGCATTTTTTGGTCCTAGGACTGTTTTTTTTAAAGAAGTACATACCAAAGTTTAGTAAAAAAACTTTAAAAAGTGAATTTTGCATAATAGGTCCCCTTTAAAAATGATGAACACGAAGAACTAAAGCAACTGTCAAGGTCGTCTTTTTTATTTCTGAATTCTAAAGCAGCATCTGTTTGTCTACTCCTAAAGGTGCTTTCCCAGTCAGGGTGCTTCTTTTGACAGAAAAACKACTGCCTTTCCTTCCCACAGCTTAMCCAGCTTCTTTTTGCCAACACAGTTTTCTTTGATAGGCTTATAAAAAGTAAACTATGGTCATGGCCTTACTGACAGAACACAAGCTCCCCCCCACACTGATCCACTGGACCAGTGAAAATGAAAGCAATATAATCCCCAGCTAGTAGGGTTAGCAGCAGAGGAAAGGAGGGTTTTTCAGGTGCAGAACTTTGGTTTAACACAGCCGTGTGAATATGTTCATATTTAAGCAAAAACACGAGACAAACAGCTCTAAATCATAAACAGCAGCAGAGATTAAGGCTTGTTAAGATGCTTTCTCTGCTTTGCAGCAGTTATGCAGCAGTTATAGCTAAATATCTTCATCTCCAGCTGCTTATCCGTAGACGGGTCACAAAGGCAACATGTCTAGGAGAGAAACCCAGACCTCCCTCTCCCCAGCAACATTTTCCAGCTTGTCCTGGGGGACCCCGAGGTCTTCTCAGGCYAGAGAGGATATCCCTTCAGTAAATCCTGGGTCTTCCCTGGGGCCTCCGACCAGTGGGACATGACCAGAACACCCCTAAAGGGAGGCATCCTAATCAGATGAACCACCTCAGCTGACTCCTTTCCATGCAGAGGAGCAGAGGCTCTACTCTTCCTCACCTATCTAAAAGGCTGAGCCCAGACACCCTCTGAAAGCAGCTCATTATGGTCATTTAGATCTYGTTCTTTCAGTCATGATCCACGCCTCATGACCATAACAGAGGGTTGGAASCTAGRCAGACCAGTAAATCAAGGGCTTTGCCTTTTGACGCAGCTCTATCTTCATCACAACTGACCGAAGYAACGCCCTCATTACTAAGGATGAGGCCACAAACYGTYGATCCATCTCTCACTCCATCCTACCATCACTTGTGAACAGCTCCTCCACTTYAGGCTGAGACTCCTGACCCTGGGGCTAAAATGCAGTTGTATGAGGAATAGACGAAATGAGAACATGTTGTGGGAAGCATGAATTTCTGTAAGTTTGCAGAGGTGATTGGTAAGTGTGGGGAGTGGGAGATCAGGGAGGGTGTACTAATAATTAAAATAAKAATTACTGGACTACTGGTTATAGCAGATTCATTTCTTGTTAACTTTCTGGGATCAGAACTCACATCAGTGAAGAWTTAATGCCTGATTTTGAGGGGCCAAAGAAGAGCTAATTTTCTTTTCTGCGCATTTTAAAGAGAAAAGTATGACATCTTTGAATTATTTTTTGCTTGCAATTTTCACACCCACTGGTAAAGATAATCAAAAAATGAAGCAAGTCTTTTTACTTCCCTTTCTGGAATCAGTACATAAATCAACCTGACATTACCATATTGATTTTTGTAAAAAAGAAAACACCAGGCAACACATCCASAATCCTCAGGCTGCCAGTTTTTAGTACAAAGAGCTCTCGCTGATGCATTATTGTAATAATAAAAATACAAGCATGCAGCAAATTGGAAGGCAACCAATTTTATGAAGTAGATGTTGCAGCAGATTTAACTGCAGTTGTTTCTGAGAGAAGCAGAGAAAACAAAAGACTGACTCACATCCAGAGTGACAGGGAATGTATCTTAATTTGCTTGTTCTCGTGGCACCTGGAAAATTTGTCAGAAATTAGATTTTTTTTTTTATAAAATAAAATGTTTCTCTTATTACCATCATGCCACGAAGACCATACCAGGAGAGCATTCAGAAAATGTAAGGGAGGAAGCTTTTCTTGTGATGAAAAAAAGGAGGAGAACCACTGCCATAGGTTACTTTTGGAATAACTTAATAATAATATATCTTTTCAAAAAAGAGCGTGCCAAACATTAAAAGGTTTGCTGGGAATAGTTYCTTTATCTGCCAGTAAAGCGTCATGATAAATGCCACATGCTTATATAACACTTGAACCTCACACAGGCTCTGCAGAGCACTTAACATGATTCACATTTCCCCTTTTATACAGACACACAGTTTTCTATTATAAATTTGACACTCTTTATTGACCTTATGCTGTTCCACACACTGTCTCTTGTCCAGTTTTCGCACCATTGAAAAAGCATCTCCTATTTAACACTTCCTTCAACGTACAACATGTGAAGAAAAATGAATCAAATTGCAGAACACTCGGCTCGAATGTTATTAAAATCCTACATCTATCACTCCTCGGTTACTGGGAGGAGTACTTCTGACAATGATATGACRTCACCTATAAAGACCTTCAGGGATGGGATTGAAGAAAGAAACAGAACTGAAATCAGCTCTTCACATTAGAGTTCAGGGATAACACGATATGTGGCTCCACGAGGCACAGCYCCTGGATGCTGCTGGACTTTCACAAAATTTGAGGCTATTTCTGAACTTTCTGGGACACCTAGATGTGAGGTTATTGGTATTTAAATAGAGTAAAATAAGTAAGACGATAAATTAATAAATAAAAATAGATGTGTTATTTTAGCAGAGTGACTGAAACAACCTATATAAAAGACAATATTTAATTTACTAAACCTTAATATTAGTTGGAGGCTACTGTCTGWGTGTAAGGTTGTACAGATTTTATTAGTGTTAGTTATGTGAAAATTTGAAATAAATATTCATCTCCAATATTCATCTCCTAATAAAAGACAATGCTGACAAGCTATATACGGTGGGTAAAATAATATTGAACACGTCAACATTTTTCTCAGTAAATATATTACTAGAGGTGCTAATGACATGAAATTTTCATCAGATGTCGGTAACAACCCAAGTGATCCATACATACAAAGAAATCAAACCATAAATGTCCAGAAATGAAGTTATTTGTAATAATGTGGAATTGCACAGGGAAAAAGCATTCAACATATGAAGAAAGGGAGCTGTAAAAAGGCATGGAAAGCCAAGACACCAGCTGAGC